GTGATCTGGAAGTCTGGTTTTGAGACTTATTTACATGTCTTCTCATTTCAACAGGGTGTGGGGGAGGATGTGTGCTGCTGTTGCCTTCAAGGCTCACCTCCTTGGTGCTGGGGGTGGTGGTATGGTGGCCTGGAAGGTTCACCTCCTCAGCACTGCAGGTGGCTCTGCTCCTTGTCACTTGGGGTAGTCCAGAGTGAATGGTTTTAAGATAGAGTGAGCAACAGGCTCAAACACAATAGGCACAGATGTGTATAAAATTAGCCACTGGATTTGGTCTTGGGAAGATAATGATTTTTGACAGAGGAGTAGTGAATGTGAGCTCAGAAATTGCAGTAGATTGAAATGGGAAGGCCAGTTGAGGAAGTAGGGAGAGAAATACAGGTTTTAGTATAGAAGGAAGGTGATGGGTAATGTGGGGCTGGGGAGACCCTGATGAAGGGACGTTCTTATTCTTTTTTTTTTTTTTAAACAGAGTCTATAAAGTTTAGGCTGGCCTTGAACTCACTATGTAGCCCAGGCCTCAAACTCAACAGTTCTCCTGCCTCAGCCTCCCGAGGGCTGAGGCCCTAGCCCACAGTCCTGACTGCTTCTGCTAATAGCCTTCTACACACTGCCTTGCTAACACTGATCTATCTCTTTTCTCATACTTAAGACTCTTCAGAAGTGAGGGTGGGGGTGGAGAGAAAGATGTGAGGGATCAAAATCCCTCCTGCCCTTATTATCAATTAGCTCTAGATTTTTAGTGGTATTTTGGTTGAAAAACTTAATTCTTTAGATGAGAACCAAATCAAATTCAATGGTTAAGTTCATTGTTGACCTTATAGGGAAATTTGATTTGGTTCTTGTCTAATTTGGTTTGCGACCAGAATCATGGAAAGAGTTAAGTTGGTGAACCGAGGTACCAGTGTGTTTAGGTCAGGTTCAAATCCTACCTTTTGTGGTCAGTCCTTGCCAGGCCCTCTCACTTGCACTAATCTGCAGCTCTCTTGGAATCCCAGACAGAGTGGTCCACTCAGCAGAGTTTAACTGAGCAAATTTTTATTTGACTGTGGTGGTCTTAGAGGCTTTGGGTGATACAGATGACATCTGTGAATAGTTTGTGGGAAAGGCAGGGAAGGTCTGTGATGTTAGGAGATATGTTTGATAGAAGGATAAAGGAACTGGGTATACAGCTGCTCTGAGCTGGGCAAAGGGATTGAGCTGGCTGTTTTCCCTTTTCATCACGGACAACAGGCGAAAAGGAAAAACAAGACAGCAACTCCTGCCACTGAACTGAACCTGGTCAGCTTGTGTGTGAGTGGCTGGCTGTCTAAACTAGACACTCAGATGAGAAGTGCATGATGAGCCTATACCCTGTGGGTCCTGGAAAGGCAGGAAAGTGATGTGAACACCAGTGAGTGAAGAGAAAGGATAAAAAACAAACAAAATCAAAATCTGTGAATCCCTAACTTGATTATTCATGTCAGCTAAAACTCCTCTGACCCTGAAGGTTTAAGGCAGTGTGGCTGGTTATTTAATCAAACCGAAAATTAATGTTAATGTTTTTAATGTGAATGTAACATCTGTATTTATCACCTTGTATTCAAGTGTCTGGCTTGTGTATCTGGTGGGCTAAAAAAGGGTGGATAGGGGAGTAGGGTAGGTAGAAGATGAGACACCCTGTCCTTAATTTACATTGCTGAATAATTAGGAATTGTGAAATCATTCACTGATAGGTTGTGACAAAAGCATGAGTAAGATCCCATCCCTGCCCCACAGCACTCAGGTGACCTGGGAACAGAGGCATATGGATGAGCATGAACAACAGATAAGAACAGAATAGAGTTCAAAATAGATTCTCCTATTATTATTTTTCCATCTCCCCAACTAGATTTGAAATTCTTAGGGGGGAAATACTGTGCCCTCTTTTGTAGCTGCTGTGGTACTGTTACAGGAAATAATACCGGAGATGAAATATGAAACATTGTATCTCCCAGCCTGTTAAGTGTATGATACACTGAGTTCTTGTTCTCTAGAAATCAAAGAATGAGTCCTAGGAACAGTGGGAGTAGGAAGGTATTTATTGATAGGAAAACTCCTGAGGGGCAGAAGGGAGACCTGAGTGGGTAGCCTGGGTACCCCACTTTACAGAGGCGTTTTATAGGGTGAAACCCATGTGGGTACAATATGGGTCACAGCCATGAACATTCAATAAGGTTACAAGCATAGTCACTTAGGTAATGGTGGTCCAATTGGGAAACAAGTCGCTTAACAAGTGTGGATGGAAAGAACAAAGATTCTCCTATGAAGTGGTGGGTCCAGAGGTCTCTGGTCACCCATCAGGGTGGCTGATGTGTATCTAGATTTCATTAGGCTCAGTGTTTGTTCTTTGAGGAAGTATGTAGGTCTGGTCATCTTGTCTTTATCTTGAGGCCTGTTTTTTAGCTGATGTATCTCTGGTGTAGCTGTGGTGTGTTTCACCTTTGTCCTGACCCTCTCAAGGACCTAGCCCTATCTGACTGCCTTTATTTCTACCTAGCTCATCTATCTATAATATTAATTAAGTAAGAGTCCTTAGGTGGCTATCTCCTACCTCCATTGCATTCTGTCAGGTAGGTCAGGGGAGCTGGCTTTTCAGGTCTTTCATTTCTAGATTCCTCAGTGTTAACTCCTCTCGATAAATTCTTACAGTGATTGTGTTGCCTGGTGCCTCTCTCATGTCTAGCTTCTCTCTCTCTTCTTTATCTTTTTAATTGCTCTAAACACAGAGGCTACCTGTGAAGGCAGAAACTGCTTTCAGTAAGTTTCCTTATTGATCTTATTGAAGCTCAGTGAAGCCTTTATCCTATCTTTTCCCTACCTATGGGGCCCTCTGTCACTACAATATTATTACCTGCTTCCTTTAAAAAAAATCACTGTACTGATTCATGTGTGTTAGAATTATAAGAGGATTATAATTAGGGATCATCTGTTTAGCATCATTTTACAGCTGGGAACTTGTCTAAAGTAATAAATCAGTAGCACATCTCGTATTTTTTGAGCCAGTACTTTTTCAGCTACACTAGTCTAGCTTTGAGGACAAAGCACTCAAGAGCACGTCTGCTTTGAGCAGACATGTCCCCATAACCACTTGAGTCACCGGTAGACTCTTCCTGTCTCCCAGGAAGTGACTTCTGTCTACTTTCCCCTCCCCAGGCAATAGAGTGTGTCAGACAGAATCCAGTGCTGGAATCTATTACTTGCTACTATTCAAGTTTGAACAAGTTCAAAGTCTATGTTTTTATTTATTAAATGGAGAAAGCAGTATCAGGGAAATCCCTTGCATTGTTTTCAATTTAGCCCTCTCTGTGTGCCAGACCCAGCTATTCACCTGCGTATGGATATTCCATGGGCACAGCCAACTCCATGTGTGTCTAAAAGGCAGCTATTATCTTCTTCCTCAAACCTGTTTCTCTTCCTGTACTTATGGTAGTGATACAGGAAATAATACAATACCAAAGATGAAATATGAAATATTATATCTCTCAACCTGTAAGATGTCTGATACTTGGAGATCTTGTTCTCTAAAAATGAAGAATGAATTCTAGGGACAATGGAGCTTAAGAGTAGGAAGGTATTTATAGATAGAATTGCTTCTGAGAGGTAGAAGGGGTCCTGAATGGGTAGTTAGGGACCCCACTCTACAGGGGAGTTATGGAGTAAAACCCACGCAGATACAACGTGGGCCACAGCCATGATCAACCAATAAGGTTACAAGTATAGTCACTTAGGTAATAGTGGTCCAATTGGGAAACAAGTCATGTAACAAGTGTGGATGGAAAGAATAAAGACTTCTCCTAGGAAATAGTGGGTCCAGGGGTCTCTGGTCACCTACCGAGGTGGCTGATATCTATCTAGTCTTCATTAGGCCTAGTGCTTATCCTTTGAGGAATTATACAGTTCTGGTCATCTTGAGAACTGGTCTCCAACAGATGTATCTCCGGCCATAGTTGTGATGTGTTTCACCTTTGTCCTGATTCTCTCAAGGACCTAGCCCTGTCTGATTGCCTATAATATTTCTACCTAACTCAACTGTCTATAAGAGTTGTACTGGGCTGGGGATTTAGCTCAGTGGTTCCACTGCCTGCCTCGAAAGTTCAAGGTCCCGAGTTTGATCCCTGGTATGAAAGAAAGAAAGAAAGAAAGATAAAAGAGTTGCACCAGAATCCAGGATGATGCCATCTCCACCTTTCTCCTTCTAACCTCTTATGGACTAGTCATGAAATTTTGTAGATGTACCTTTCATGAACTACTCTACTTTTCTAGACCAGCACTTCCCCTGTTGTCTGGTTGTAGCACTTGGCACTTCTTGCTCAGTCTCCAGTGAGAGTCTCTCTTATCTGGTCTCTTTGCCTCTAGTGTCTTCTGTCTTCATCCAGACTTCTAGTGTTCTAAAGTGCAAAACTGAAATCACAGACCCAAACCTAGGAAATCCTTCTGGGGCTTCTCATTGCCTATAAGATAAAATCCAGACTCAGGAATAGGCCCTTCAGATCCCTCCATTAATTAGTTCTTGCTAACCTCTCCCATCTGCCAGAGATTATGTCCCATGCCCATCCTTCAGGTTTAAGCTGAGACATCTCCTTCCCTCCCCTCTTGACAAATGAGGCAGCTGAGTAACAACTCGTGGAATGTTCAATCAAGCATTACAGAGCACAGCTCATGGAATACACCTTATCTAGGCTGAAGGGCGACTGCCTTGGCTTCTTGCTCTTAACAGTCCCTCTAGAAACAGAGAAAACATGCCAGGCGTGGTGGTACACTACTATAATCAAAGCACTCAGGAGGCTGAGACAGGAGAATTTCCATGAGTTTGAGGTCAGCCCAGGATACATTGTGAGTTCAAGGCCAGCCTGGAGTACTGAGGGAGACCCTGTCTCAAAAAAACCCAACCCAAACCAAACCAAACCAAAAATAGAGAATATAGAGTCACATTCTGGGGGAAGAAATTAAAAAATGAAAATGGTGTATTTCTGATATAGGAGAAATGGCCAAGTTGGCTGGGAAAATGAGTGGGACCTGAAGATACAAGGGCAATGCCAGGACCCTGTATATAGAACTTCTTGAGAGCTCCCATGAGATGTGGATGGCATAAAAGAAGACCGGACACCTTGGGGAGCCACTACCCTGACTTCCCAGAGTCTGTGGTGCATTTCCCTGATGTGTATTTTTATTTTTGCTTTTACCTTTTTTTCCCTCTTGTTCTGCCCAAGCTCACTCTACAGAGCTAGTTTCTCCCATACCCATTCACCTCGCACTTTTCAAATAAACTTTTTGGCATTGTTTTTGGCTTGTCTCATCCAATTCTTTGTTCGAGGCAAGACGAACCTGGAATACTTTTGACTGGCAAGCCATTTCTCAGTGAAGTACCTGATAACATTTCCGTAATCACTGAGTTGTCCTTCTGAGGAAGAGATGGCTCTCATTTCAGGAGCCAGACTCCGCTTGGATTGGTAAGTGGCTTCAAGTTTGACACGATCCTCATGTGTTTATTTGCTCCATAGCCAATGTTGGCTTTCAGTGTTCTGCTTAGGAGATGTGTGCTGGGTCTCCTGGTGAGAGGCAGGAGGTGGAGAGAGGCTCTTCAGATGTTATCAAGCTGGAAAGATGTGGAACACTGTCCTGCTTCCTTTCAAGAGATATTCTTAAGGGGCAAATTTGGCCTTAGCACCGACAGAAAGTGGCAGCCAAATGACTTTGTAAAAATTGATAGAAGAGTGCCCTTGGTGCCCAGGGGTTTGATGAGACGGTGGAACTGTCAGCAGCAGTGGCTTAGCTGCAGGTTACATGGAACAACCAAGCTGTGAAATGTACCTGGTGTGACCATCAGAGACACTTACGGATGAGGATGAAGCAAAGGAAGCCACAGAGGAGGTGAGTAAAGCTGTAGAGGCCTCAGGATACTCTTTGTAAGCTGGATCAGTGTGCACTTCTGGTGAAACCGATTAATGGGAACGTGATACAAGGCTTGGAATTTAGCAGGCAGCTTATCCAGAGATTGGATTCCTAGTCAGCTAGAGCCTTGGGGTGGTTGTCAGGGTGGGGGTGTGGGAGGTGGAATGAAGGGAGCAAATGGTAAATGAGGGAACGTTCAGTTTTGCTTGCCTCTCCTCCAGCCTAGCTCTTGGTTCCAAAGGACAGTGGCTTATGCTCCTCAGGCTCCTCTGCATGAGATTTCTCCAGCTTCATTTTGGTCCGCCAGCTCAGCCCACTGGCATGTCCCCGGGAGTCTTTCCCCAGGCCCCAGAGCCACACTGAAGCTTTTTTCAGTACTTCCCCCAATTTCCTGGGGGCAAACATGGTGTCTTGTTTGTTGTGTTTTCTAACCCCTACTTTTAACTATAATAGGTGCTTAGTAAATATTTGCAGAGCAAATGAACATCCAGGCCCTCAGGGAGGACTTTTAGTCATGTATTTATTCAATTGTTCATGAAACCAGTATTAATTAGCAGAAGGGACTGTCTGTCTGGATAGTGAGTGGGTGGGAGGAAACATGAAGACAAGCCAGACCTTTCCTCAAGTTGCTTATCCTTAGGATAAATATGCCCTGAGACAGGGCCACTCAACACTGCTGTGGGAGCCTTGGGGATACTATACAGAGGGCTCAAGGTTTCCAGGTGAATCTCCATCACCCTCAGGAGGATGTTATCGGTAGCAGTGCACTGGTTCATGCTGCTGTCACGAATCCTCAGCAGTGCCCAGGCACTTGAGCCTGGGATAGCTGTGGTTGTAGAGGGTCTGGTATCCTCAAGGAGAAACAGAAGAGAGCTGGTCAGTTTCAAACAGCACCACTGGGTCTGGACAGCCTTGTCACTTTTGTCTGCTTTGGTCTTCTACAATGGGCTTATCTCTTGGTGCTCTTTGGCCATCATGTCACCCACTGTGGATCTTCCCAGAGTGCCTGGGCTTTCACAATCCTCTCCATGCTGGATTTTGTCCAGCCTTGCTGTAGGTACGTGTAACAAGATGAAGACACAAGCCCATTGGGGTTTGTCACCTGGGAGGGAGTTTGAGGAACATAAAGAGCAATAAAATAGAAAGTGGTGGTGGTCATAGAAGGAATTGAGGTGAAGGGGGATTTATGTCTAGTGCCAGCTTGGTAGAGAAGAAGGAGGCCTCGGAGGAAAGTTGGGACCTGGACATGATGGGAAGGAAAAGAGCACTTCAGGCACAAATGCATGGTGGTGAAAGGCACTGTTGAGAGAATGTGCTGGGAGTTGAGCTTCACAGGAGAGGGAAGGGAGTGTGAAGAGTGATGAGAGACAGAAGAGGAAAGAGAGCTGGTGTGGAGCTGGGAAGGCTTTGGCCTCTACACCCCTGATTCCTAACTGTGGAACCCAGAGCCTGAGTAACAGGTCAGAAAAAGATTCAAGGCTCTCATTTTTACTTTCCAGGGCTGGTGGGCTCTCTACATTTAATTTATGCCCTGAGTGCTCCCTGAGCACCTATTCTATGCTGAGCACTGTGCTAGGTGGTGAGACTGCCCCACCCCGCAAGTCATCCAGTTTAGTGACACAGACTGGAAACCAAAAAGGAATTTATTGCACACTATGATATCATATAGGCAGAGGCAGATTTATGATGAAGCTAATGGTGCTTCAACTTCAAGTTTCCTTCTTTGCACTGGGCTTAGATGCTTTGAATTTGTGGTTTTGGAATTTTTAAAAGTATATTTTATTTTTTGCTTAACGTGTTAATAGTACATATCAATGGGGTTCAGTGTACTATTTCAACTCAAGTACAGAAGGAACTGATGAAAACCAGCATCCCTTTATCCACCACCACCCCCTTTTCCAACATTCAGGGGGACGTTTTTAGCTTTCATGTATGAGAGAGAACACATGTTACTTGTTTTTTTGTCCCTGGAATATTTCACTAAACATGACATCCTCCATTTCCATCTATTTTCCCGCAAATGATAGGATTTCATTCTTCTTTATGGCTAAATAATATGCAATCTTTTTCTGAAAGAGAGCCCTTCATATTGTAGAAGCTTCAGGTTCCATAACACTTGGCTGTTCTTGGTGTGATGAGAAGGAGAAGGAGGGGAGATGGGAGGTTACTTGGATAGGTCTGTAGCTCAGCTCATGCACACACCCTTTTTCTCAAACTCTGATCTGGTCCCCATCTTACTCTGCATTCTGTATGACCTTGTGATCTGGCTCTGACTCTTGCAGTAAACTTCATTCGCACTCTCCTTCTCTTAGTGTCCCCAGATTCTTATCCAGCTCAGCTTTCTTGTAGAGAAATTCTTCCCTCAGCTTCTCTCATGGCAGGCTTCTTGCTTTTTCATGTCTCTAGTTAAATGTCACATCCTCTCCATAGTGACTATAACAACTCCACAGCTTTGATAATCCTTGGAATTTTCAGGTTTTGTTGTGGAAATCTGGTGTAAATTTGTATCTCATAGTTTAAGGTATATTTCTAGCTGGGCATTATGGCATACACTTGTAATCCTGGCTATAGAGGAGGCCAAGGCAGGAGAATCACAAATTTGAGGGCCCATCTCAAAATAAAATAAAAATTGCTGAGTTTGTAGCTCAGTGGTAGAGCATCCCTGGGTGCAAACCCTAGCACTTCAAAAGCAAGCAAACAAAAACAAATAAAGACACATTTCCTTTAGGTTGGTGAATATAAGCTTTTAATCTTTTATGTCTCATATTTATAGTGTGGCTCTTTTGTCTTCCTGCTCTACAAAGTGTGTCTTCATAGTTTTGCTCATTACTTTCTTTGGTTTCTGAATATTAAACTTTGGTTGGTTGTATCTTTCCTCAAAATATGACTTGTCTTTTACTTTTTTTAGTTGTGTGTTTTGTTGAATAAACATTTTTGAATTCTAACACAATCATATTTGTCGTATTGTTTTATGATCAGCATTTCTTTGTATCTTAGTTAAAAAATTCTTTTTTTAACCAATGAAGTCTCAAATATTCCCCTCTATTTTTTTTTCAAAGTTTAGAAGCTTTGCTTTCCATTTAGGTCTTGAATAGATCAGAGATTAATTTTTGTGATTGTGAAAGATAAGATTTCAATTATTTTCCTCATGGAAAACCAATTATATCCACACCTCTACCGAAGAGGCCATTGTGTCTTCTGGATCTGTTGTGTCAGTGATGGGCATTGGGGTGGGTGAGGGATTTAGACAGAGGGATGGGAGCCTACTTGGATGAGGGGATATAAAACAGAGACCCGAATGAAGCCAGGGAATGAGGGAACTATGCAGTTATCCCCCAGGATAACTAGGTATTTCCTCTAAACAGAAGAAAAATTGAGGACAAATGCTCTGAGATGGGAGTGTCATTAGTACTGGAGGGACAGCAAGTCTGTGCAATGGAGTTGAGCTGGCAGGAGGCTGGGGGCTAGTGGGAGCATGGGAGTGCTCACTTTAGGACAAATCATGATGGAACTTGTAGAGGGTAGCAAGGGACTTTGCTTTAAGTGTGGTTGGCAGTCCTTGGAGGGCTTAGAGAAGGGAATGCCCTGACCAGATTTATATTTAAAGTGATCATGTTGGCTTCTGCATAGAACCTGGACTGGAAGGGAGTTTCTTTTCTTTTTTCTTTATTTTATTAGTGCATGTTTATGGTATATAATGATTACATTCCTTGTGGGGAGTTCATGTATGTACATAACACAGCATAATTATTTTTGGCATCCCCTTCCCATTCCCTCCCTTCCCCCTCCCTTCCCCCTCCTTCCATCTGTTGGTCCCCTTCCCTTTTGCAAAAGTTCCATCTCCCTGATTCCTATTATCTATCTTTTATTTTGCTCTGTAATTTATTTATACTTTGGGTTTCTCATATAAGAGAAGCCATGAGATATTTAAGCTTGTATTTCTGATTTATTTCACTTAACATTATATTCTCAAGTTGCATCCATTTTCCTACAGTTTATCTTTTTTATGGCAGAGTAGGGTTCTGTTTTATATAAATACAGTAATATTGCAATTTATGAATGCTTCTGTTCATGGATAGTTTAGCTCACAAACAGAAGCATTCAGCAAAAATTTGCTTCTGTTTGCAAACTCCACACAGGGTGACAAACACGAACATGGCCATCTTCTCCAGAATCATGGAAAGAATCAAGTTTGCATGCCTCAGTTCATGAACTTGGTTATTCCACGATTCTGGTTGCAAACTGAGTTGGACAAGAACCTAATCAAATTAAATGGTTAGGTTCAGTGTTTACCTTCTGGAGAAATTTGATTTAATTCTTGTCCAATTTGTTTTGC